GGGGGGGGGGGGGAGCCAGTGCATCGGGTGGGGCGGCCCACGCAGGACAGCCCCGCGCCAGAGCTAGGGGGATCTCCAGGCAGGACGCGGGGTCTGCGCCCCGGCCACCCCTCCCTGCCGGGGCAAGCCGCGGGAGGGATCCGGGCCTTCGCCTCCCGGGAGCCAGCCCTGGGGGTACAGGGGACGCCCGCCACCCCCTGGGGTGGAGATAGCGTGTTTCCAGAGCTGGTTTCCGCCCCTCTCCAAATGGGTCCTGAAGATCCGGGAAGCCCAGCGCACCTCGTCCCTGTACGCATTTCTCGGTTCTTTTGTTGTCTAGGACGCAGGCGATTCCCAAGGGGCTGACCCGAGGGGGGGGGAGGGGAGGGAGGATTTTCCTTCTGGAAAGAGGCACCGAAAGGACCTCATTTGCCCCTGAGAGCCGGGCCCTCCCGAGTTGCCATCCACCGGGCTCTTTGGGCCTTGGGATTTGGGGGCGAGTCTTTTCCGAGAGAATTAAAATGTGTCAGAGGTCATTTCTGCGTCCGCACTTGTCCTAAAGGGGAGAGGCCGGGTGTGAGGTGGAGAAACAAGGGAGGGGATCCGGCAATGGAGGCTCTCTGAAGCCCTCCCCCCATCAGAAGCGGCGCCCCCAACGCCCCCGACCGGTAAGGCGCCAGTTCTGTCGGTGTGTTGCACAAAGCCCAGTAGAGCTCCCGGTGATGAAGGGTTTCCAGATCGTTCCAGAACTATGGTTCTGATTTCAGTGGGCTCCACAAACAGGAGGGGGCACGACCAGCTAAGAATAAAACCCCATCAGGAAAGAATGTTAAGTTTCAAAGCCGTGCAATGCCATTTTTACTCTCCACAAAGAACGTCCCAAGGGTTCAAGAACACCACCCGGAAATTCGGCCCCCGTAGCTGGTGCAGCTAGGGGCTGGGGGTTCCCGACTGTGCGGAGCTGGGAAGCACTCTCCTTTTTCACCTTCACCTTTCTGGGCCTTGTCTTCTGGATCTTTGTTCCTCGGTTCCCAGGAGAACCGTCTCCAACTCTCCGGCCTTTTCACTGAAGGCTTCCGTGCATGACAGTTTACAGCCAAAAACTTCCTCAGGCCCAGCTATAAAGGATTCCCGGTTGGTAACAATGTGCCTCCTTGGGAAGGAGGAGGTGCGGCCGGCTGCTCTGTCCAAAAGTCTGTCTGTCTTTCCTTGGGAAGCCCAGCCTTTCAGGGGAAAATCTGCAAAAGGTCTTACGGCTGGACCTCAGAATGCAAATGGTCACCCCCAAAATAACTTAGCAAACACTTTACAAGATTCTGATTGTAAAATTTCTGTTCAGTGTGGAATATAACAGAGACTTATGTATACCCATAATACGTGTGTGCGTGTGTGTGAAAATAAAAACCTCCATCACTAACCACTCTTCACATTTTGCTGGCCTTTCCTCACTTTTGTTCATTTTTTTCCTTCTGCCGAGCTCACTCTCCCGTACTGGTCAGGCCCGGCGGCCAAAAGCTTTGGCAAGTCCTAAATTTAAAACAACGTAGATAGAGTGGGGAATAGCAAATCATTTGTGTCATCAGTTGGTTTATTTGTCTCTCCCATTGAAAGGAACCCAATTGGGGCGCCTGGGTGGCGCAGTCGGTTAAGCGTCCGACTTCAGCCAGGTCACGATCTCACGGTCTGTGAGTTCGAGCCCCGCGTCAGGCTCTGGGCTGATGGCTCAGAGCCTGGAGCCTGTTTCCGATTCTGTGTCTCCCTCTCTCTCTGCCCCTCCCCCGTTCATGCTCTGTCTCTCTCTGTCCCAAAAAATAAACGTTGAAAAAAAAAAAAAAAAAA